CTGTTAATATTAATGAAATTATTGTGAGTTGAATCGATTTGTCACTGTGTGTGTAACAAGTAGCATCATCATAAATTATGATCTACATAAAATGATTACTATAAGGCATGTAAAAGACCTAGTGGTTATTTCATGATACATATGTGTAGAGGAATAGTAAAGCGTGTTGTATAGCAATATACAAGTGCTTTGCTTTCGTATTCTTTGTTTAGTTTGTTGAAACCCTTGCATTTTTGCCATATATCCCACCCATTATCTATATATAGCAAAAATGCAAGATTTCAAAAAGTTTATTTTTTAATACGAAAACTAAATATTTCGGATTTCTAATATTTTTTTCACAGTAGTAGACAGTACAAAGTTTTTACTGATATAGTTCGTTTATTTTAAACATAGTAAATAATACTTAATAAATTAAGTTTTTGATAGGTGCGGTGTATATACCGGAGTTACCCTAAAGGATGAAGATTTCGATATTCGGGAATAAATCGTCTTAAATTTTACAAGATTACAGCTTTAATTCGGCAGCCCTTTATTTTCTCAGAACACTTGTTATTTTTCACGCAAATGTTCGCGAGATTAACGTACGCCGTAACATCTGGGCTCAGGTTTCGACGAGGAAGAGCGCCAGAGCTGCCAGTCGGTCAATCGTCGACGGCTGACGCGTTGCTGCTCGATAGCCGCGCTGGACCGACGACCTTTCTTCGCTCGTTTCCAGTCCTGCAGCTTTTTCCTAAACTCGGGCGCGAGACGCTCCTCGTTCAACGGCAGGCCATTGCGAATGTTCTGCGGGCCCTTCAATCGCTCCCACTCGATCAGCTTCCGGTGAAACTCGGCACCGAACTTCTCCCGCAACGCCTGATAATCCCTGCGCGCTTCCCGATAGTGGTTGCCGTTGTTGTTGATACCTGCAACGGTTTTACCGAGATCCTCGACGCTTTCGCTAAGGCTGCGAGCTCGGCGCGTATCTGCGTTTACAACGAAGACATTTTATGCAGCGACGAGAAGCGCATAATAAACATGCGGAAGAGTTAAGAGAGAATCTTCGCGATTCTTTCAGGTAGATTAATCGTGTTTCTCAAGCGGAGTTTAAAGCTAGAGAGATGGAAGAGCTTATAGAAGCTTGATGACAGACATTGATTTTAAAAAAAAGTCAGCAACATCTATCCGTACATTATATTGAAACTATTCTCGCGAAATGAGTTTAATAGCAATAATAATTGGAGTACAGTTTGATCTGTAACTTTAACAACAATATCGTTATGTTGTCATCGCACTACATTTTTATCATATTATTTATTTGCTACAACAAAATAATTTGAAAATTACTTATCATTTTTTTTAATTACTTAATTAATTCCATTGAATACACTTTACCATTTTTTTAAATCAGACTTATGTCTTTTGTTTGTCATGTACGCATAACCGGTACAACAGTTACTATTTTTGTTTCGTTTTGACAAGAGCAACATGCGACACATGTGCAATTGGCATGTTGTCAAAAAATTTTCAAGTGGGCTGTCAAATTCTGAATAATGTTGCGAGAAATTTGCCTGTTTTTCACTTCAGTAAGAAAGTATTACAAAACGGCAAGTCTATCGAGTGGTCTGAAAATAAAACTCGTTTAATCTCCGAGCAACACCAAAAGAAGCTTGAACAATGTCCTTCGTCGTTCGTACAAGTCTGCTGTAAAAAGTTATTTTCCAAATCAAAGCCTAATGTACATCGCAAATTATCTAATTGTTAATTAAACATTTTTTCAAATTTTTTAACAAAAAATGTGCAAATAGATTAAATGAAAATTTTGAAAATTTTATTTGTTGTATAAATCCTTCAATAATTTATCCAAAATAATATTTTGTGTTATTAAAAAAATCTAACTGATCTTTAAATTTGTTCTCTCTTTCAATATTAAAAAATTAAGAGGTTATAACTCAAATATTTGATTATTTAACAAAACTGTTTTGTAAAAACGAAACTCTTTTCTAAAAATATTATCTTAGAATCTCTAACGTGTATAATAATATTATTATTTATTAATGTAATTTCATAAAGCATAATAAATTTTAGTGCAAAACAATTACAGCCAGTGACGATTATTTAAAGGCACGACAATCTCTAAAGCTTCATATTAAGGATCTGATAAAATTCGTGGAGAATGAATCGCAAATAATTACGAACGACATAAAGAATCGTTTGGATAGCAACAGAGCCGTTTGTGCGACTCAATTAGAGAATCTCTTTAAGAAGACGACGGAAAAACTGGACGAACTGATGAAATTAGACGTTTCTTACGGCAGCTGGATGCGACAGAAGACGTTGCTGCTCAATGACGAGATAAAACGATCTTTTGACGCTCTGGAACGAGTGATCGGTCCAAACGAGAAGCGTATAGCGTCTATGTTAAAGAAATTGCGAAGTGACGTGTCGATCTGCATTGAGAGCGCGGAGAGAAATCTCTCCGTGTGTCGCAAACATTATCTTCCTTTCGATCTCACGAAATGCACGAAGGAACAGTCGGACGAAGCGACGAAAATGCTCGGTCGGATGAAGGAGGAAACACGTCGTAAGTTCGAAGAGATCGCCAAGTTTCGCGAGACAGTTCTGAGAGCACATGAGATGACGACGCAGGAAGCGATAGAGATAAACCATAAAAAAACAATGGATTTATTGAAGTACCTGGAGAAATGTATCGTCAAGCTGAAGAGTTCGAACAAGTAGCGCAAAAAACATGGAACTGAGAAATAGGTAAATAATATAATATAATTGTTAAACAAATTCTAGAAGTGAATTCTAGAATTGATGACTGGAACAAAATAATTAATTTTCAATTAATTGGTCCCAATTATCAGTTAATAATTAATTTCATTTCCATAATTAATAACTAATTGCGATCAATTAATAATTAATTTTTAATTAATCAGGCAATCTTAAAATTGCGAACAATTCGGAGAAGTCAGCCTCAAAATTCTGTTTCAAACTTCAGAAATAAATGCGTAACAGAGCCGTTTATCTTCGCGCGCCTTTGTGATTGGATACACGCACATAATGTTTCTTTTAAATGAAGATTTATGGCACAAAAGTGTAAAAGACTTGACGAGAATCAGTCGTAAACCTACTGGACGTTGAAACGAGATTCTAAAATTGTAGGGACCGAAAATTTCAGGCTTTTGAAAAAGATTTAGTTCATGAATATATATTGTATTACAAATTAAATTTTTTGCATTAACACCCAGTAAACATCAACTAACGGTAACATAACAAAAAATTATAACAAAGTTACAACTTTTCGTTTTATCAATGTTGTGTCAATAAATTGTGCTACCAGATAGTAGTAATATTACATTAATATTATAATTTTCCACTCAACAATATAAATGTAATACAGCACATATTGTACGTAAGAGTTACATTGTTGAGTAAAAATTATAACATTGTTATGTATTTATAACTTTTACGTGCGTTGTATTACATTTATATTGTTGAGTAGGAAATATAATATTAATGTAACGTTACTATTATCCTAGTAGCTCAATTTATTAGCATAACATTGGCCCGATATATCTCCAATGCATGCCAATACTTAATCAATGTCTTGCCAATAAATTGGTGTTACTTGAATGGTTAGTGTTTGCCGGATAGCTTCTTTACGATTAATACAATTCCTAATGTTATTAGTACAGAGATTAATGTTAGCTCAGAATTCACAGAATGTATGTTGGTTTAAAGACGCGTTTTCTGGGAAGCTTCACTAAATTCTCACCATCGTTCATGAACGATTGCGCCGCGACCACTCTAATCGGACTTGGAGGAACGCTGAAAGTGGCATTTGTCAGAAAAGCACGTCTGACCTTGTTCCATTTCGAATCTTGCTGTTGTATCTTTGGCGCTGGCGTTACCGCTTCCTCGATCGTCGAATACTGGAAGCAAACATCACATTATACGTGTCACGACGACGTCCGCGACAACCGTTTGGCAAGAGAAAGCATCGCTGCGGAATTCGGAGGAAACGGTCATTTACTACGTGGACGTAAGAAGCATTATTTTCTACGTGGACGAAGACGGTGCCTTTTGTCCAAATGTCGCAAGCGATGCATCCCTCAGCGTAAAAGATAGAAAGACAAAATTCCGTTTTAGTTTGAGCGAACGTTAAGTATACGAAGTTTTTACTTGACGCGACGATTAAGTCTATATTTAAGAGTGACAGTAAAGTAGATCATTTTATAATTATAAGACTAAAGTTGAATGATTACAAGAAGTAATAAATTATAATCATTCAGTTTTAGTTAAAATAACTGTAAAATAGTTTATTTTCTATGTGTACATTAATTCTACATATTAAACTTGTATAGAGGTCTCCTATATAGTTACTACCACTATCTTTTTCTCTGAATGTAAGTATAATTTAATACTACAAATTTAGCAGCGTATGTTTGGAAAAAGGAGAAACAACAGTAATTATGAAAATATGGGACTGTAAACATCAGAATTTTATGCAAATCATTCGTCCAACCTGTCGTTTGAATTCCTTCAGGCTCAAAATATCCTGCCGCATCCTGAGACGTTGCGGCGAGCTTCCACCGGAATCCTGTGCGCTCGACGGAAGAGGAGATATCGATTCCGGTGAAGACAAACTTCTGATTTCCTCCTCGTTTGATGGTATCGTGATTGTCAGAATTGGTGTCGGCCTCTTCGGCGACACTTCCGGATCTTTCCCGCTTCCGCTCGGAACATGCATTGTCGCATCCGTATCCGATATAATGCGAATTAGTGGTTTACCACGATTTGCCTGATTAAAGGAACATAACAATTTCAAAGTAACAATAAAATTAGAATTCCTATTATTCTTTTCTTTGGAACAACAAATATACATTTTTCATTACTCCGAACATTACTGCAAATTTCAATAACGAATAGCCCGTTCATCGTAATACATGTAATATCTGTCAGAAATGAATTAGTATTTTAAATGAAAGTACCGAAAATATTCTGTTAGATATCAAAAGAGCAATGGCACCTAATCTCTTGAGTTAAATAACATTTTGTTATTTTTAACTTTCATATATGTCAAGATATATTATATAAATCATTTTTGTAGATAGTTTCAAAGCAAACAACGTTCATATTAATGTATGCACTTAGTAAATAGCTAAATTTGAATCAAATGTAATATATTTTCTTGAGTTAAGTTATTTAACTCTATTGTTTTAGTTAAACTAACGACATGTTGAGTAGGAATAAAGGCAATCTGTAGAAATTATTAAAAATAACTTAAATTGTACTCAGGGAAAAAAAGAACCATCTTTTATAATGGTGGCAACTGTATAAGTGATAATTTTTACAATTTTTATATGTGTAATTATTATAATATACATATAATTAAATAAACTATTTTATTATTATAATACTAAAGTAAATCATTTTATAATTATAAAACTAAAGTTGAATGATTATAAGAATTAATAAATTACTTTTATAATCATTCAGTTTTAGTTATAATAACTGTAAAGTAGTTTATTCTCTATATGTACATTAAATACTTAAAAATTTAGATAGATCTAGAAAATAATTTTGTTGGATCATCAAAATAATTATATGAGACCCTTAAGTTTGCTAGTTGGTTGCTCCAAAATCTTGGTTGCTCTAAAATCTCATCTACGGATATTATACGAGTGCGATTTTAGCTAGGGGACTGTCTTAGGGAAGAAATTCGCCTTAAAATGGAACCGTCTGTCTGTTAACGGATACGCTCGCGATGCGCTGATCAAAGAAATTCAACGGGCGCGGTCGCGCATGTTGCCGTGGATATTTTTAAGTCGGCACTTGTATGTACACCGCCACTCGTGTCGCGGAAAAGGAATTTTGCGGGATGTTCTTATCGAACTGCTACTCTTGTGACGCGAATAAACGACGCGACATTTCATTGTGACAACGAACCGCAATGTGCACTCAAAAAAATATTTTGCTGTTCCAGCTAGAATTATCGCTGTTTTTTGTATCCGATGGAAAATTATGTATCATATATATGCATAGAATTTATAGCACAAATCTAAATTCTATCTCTGTCATCTATATGATTAGATGCAATACATATCCAATATATCGCAGTATTTGCTAGAAATTTAATTATTTTAGCTAATTTTTCGTACTTTTTTAGATCATTTTTCCTATAACTGTAAGATTACTTTTTTGTGTGTTATACGTACCGTGGTAGAAAGTATGCAGTTTTCCTAGACATTTATCCAGTTACTATCTAATATTACTGTATTCTCATCAATTATGCCAATACTGAGTAGGAAATGGACAAGAATTTGATAGAGTTTTATTCTGTCCATTTCACAAGCAGTTGGCTTGCTTATTAATTAATTTAATATCCATTATTTCTTGTGTTTCTATTCAGTAAATGGATTCAGATTTTACGCAACTTTTGTATGCAAACAAAGTGTTACATCCTGATTGGGATCCTAAGTAGTTTTCTCAATTACTAGACAGAAGTTGGTGTAACTGTTTAGTAACTGCTCAAAAAATGCATGAAATTTCTACCAGGATAGTTCCGCACGTAAAATAAAAATTACATTTGCAGATACTGCAATTAATTTCTCCATCTTAATATTACCTCATTAGGAGATTCTATGGAATCGGCGCTCTCCGTGACGGAAGTGTCGCGATCAAGTGATCGACCGTACCGATCTGGATCGTCCTTTTTTTTATCATCCTTCACGAAAGGCGATTGTCGGTCCGGATAGTTTACGACATTTTTGCGCGAATCTAAAAAAATGTATCATTATTATGTCATTATTAGAATAATCGTCTCCTTTTATTTTGTAGAAAGACTCAAAATTACTGATTTATTATATCATTTATTACATAGAGAGATTATTTTGTGATATTTTGATAAAAGAAGACAAATATATCCTTGTTGTTGTATTATATTTTCAATACATTAATTATTGAATATATAATTTAATAGAATATATCAAGTTTACGATCGTTCTTTTAAAATATTAAAACCCTTATTCATTCATCACTATAATTTCATGTTGTGATACCAGAAGCGAGAAAATATACAATAAAAATGCTTACAAATCATATTCGAATAAAAATATTTTTCACGAAAATAATATTTATAATTGATAGAATAGAATTAAAAAATATAGGTACTGAAAATTATCTTCTTATTTCGGGGAGAAATTAAATCCTACATTGAAATACATATTATTTTAATATTGATATTATCAATTTGACATTTTATCATAGCTGTAAACATAGCTCATTTCGCTTTTCATTATGCATAACTCATTTCCACATAGATAATTATTTATTAATTAATGAAACAAAAACAGACAACTTTTGGTATATTTTACAAATCAGTTTTATCGATTGTGTTGCGTTCAGAGAAAGCAGCTTTGCAATTGCTGTAAAATTCTTTAAATGATTGGTTGATACATTTAGATTTAATTCAATCAAGATCAATTATATTGAAGAATTTTATAATAGTTGCAAAATTATTTTTTCTGCTGAACACAGCCATTAAAACATATTTCCATATTAACATATTTTGCAAGGATTTTTATTTTGTTTTCTCGCTTCTGACGTCACAATGTAGTAGTAATGAATGAACGAGAGCCTTAAATATCTCGATAATCCTCTATTAAGCAAAAATCTGCTTATAGCTAAACAGAAGCTTTTATATATATATCTATTATCAATTTACAATTTTGAAGCTTGGTCCGCGAAGACCCTTCATTTTAAAACGATCTCGATAATAGTTAAAAAATTTCTATCCTAAACCAAATTGCCTCTGAATTAATGAATGTATAATGCAGCATCTACTTTAGAGGACGCCTTGTGAAAACAGTAGATGCATATTCTCACCGTCAAACACATCGTCGGTGGACGACGACGTGGACGATACTCTGCCAATCGGCGTGGATGGGCTGGAGACTTCGCTGGTGCAGGGCGACAGCGCCGATCCGGTGCTCCAGCTTCCGGCGATGTTCGCATCTGGAATTCGGAGATACCTCGTTGTCGGCGTCGACGACGTAGTCGCTGGCGTGTCCGATTCCGCGATATCCGCGAGATCGTTTGTACACGCGCGCTCCCATTTGAAGGCCGCCTTCACCCTGGTCCACTTGCTGACCTTCGGACCTGCGTTCCTCTCGGCACTTTTGTCCATCTCACCTATCTGCTCGGCCAGGCGCGATCCGAGATTTTGATCGGCCAGCGCGAGCGATCGGCTTCGTTGTCTCGATGAAGAAGCGGATGATCGCACGCTCGAGCGTTCGTTCCTCCTCGGCGTCGAGGACGCGGCGTCTCGGCTATTCGACAGCATCGCGTCCAGCAGAGATTCCGCGAAGCCGGTATCCTCGTCGACGAAATCATGATGCAACTCCTCACCGTTTGCCAGAGCGATCTCCAGCCGCCGATTGGCATTTCGTTGCACCTTCGCGCGTTCCAGACCCCGCACGCGCCGGAAGTACTCGGAGCTGCGGGTACGCAGCTCCAGGATCTGCTCCGTCAGCGTGCACAATCGGTCTAGGTGTTCAAACGCCTCCTCGGTGAAGGGAGTTGCGTCGCCACCCATCGCCGAGGTCGCCGAGTTCGGCGTGGTGTCGTAGTCGAACGAATGACCCTCGAACGGCGACGCGCCGAGCTCACCGAGATAAGCCGCGAGATCCTCCTCTTCCTCCTCGGGCCCGCGAGAAGTCACCCCCGAGCGATGATCTCGTACGAGGGCAACCGGCGGGCATTGAGGGTCCGGAGGTGGGGTCGGAAGTCGATCCTCTTCGGGCTT